GGTTGGTTGGATGTTTGGTTGGATGTTTGGTTGGATGATTAAAAGGTAAACTGTCAGAATGGTCCCTGTCAGTCTCAGAGGTCTTCAGGTGTTCTCATTATAATTAAAACAGTTTTTGGTTGGATGCTTTATTGGATGGTTGGTTGGATGTTTGGTTGGATGTTTGGTTGGATGATTAAAAGGTAAACTGTCAGAATGGTCCCTGTCAGTCTCAGAGGTCTTCAGGTGATCTCATTATAATTAAAACAGTTTTTGGTTGGATGGTTTATTGGATGGATGTTTGGTTGGTTGGATGTTTGGTTGGATGATTAAAAGGTAAACTGTCAGAATGGTCCCTGTCAGTCTCAGAGGTCTTCAGGTGATCTCATTATAATTAAAAGCAGTTTTCCTAACGAACCTTTCGATCGTTGTCCGTCTCTCTGAATATGAGCTTGTGGACCTCGTTGGTGTCGGTGGTCCTGACGGTCTGCATGGTGGCAGAGGAGCACAGACTCTGGAAGAGAAGAGGAGGACATGGTGAGATCACAGCTCTCTCTGTGGTTCTGCAGCCGACCCGCTCCGCTGTTTGCAGAGTTAAACTGGACTTTGTAAACTCTTTAACATTTACTCAAACATGGGGCCATCTGTGTTTGAAGACGGCTGAATAAGAAAATCCCTCCACCAGAAGTTCCCACCCTGCGCCGCAGAAACGCCGCGAGCTGATTGAGATTCAAAGCACAGATGAGATAATCGGGTCGAGCCCATATAGAGAGCAGAAAAGGGCTCTTTAAACAGAAATGTCACAAATGAGCGGAGGAGAAGCGGCACATGGGAGCAGAACAAACAGCCAGGCCTGGGAGGAAGAGGGACAACCTCGTGCAGCTAACCCTTCCTTCACGCTCAGCACATCTCCCACAAGGAGATTTCTAAAGCCCGAACAAATCGCTCCATCTTTCACTCATTTAGGCCATCCGTCAATATGCTCCCCCCGCAGCCGAATGCTAATGCGCTTAAGTGTGCTTAAGCTGCTTTGTGCGATGAAAAGGCCAAAGAAGGAGCTGCTGAGGAGGGCAGGAGATACTTTCCCTGTCAGGAAGTCATTGTTGCCACATTTAGTAAAGACAATCAGCAGAAGCAGAGCAGCCTCACTTTTAGTTATAATAATGTYCACTTTAAGAATTAAACACTCACATCTGATCCAAACAGCTGAATAAACTTTCAGCTACGTTTAAAAAACACCTGTCCTTAAAAGCAGAGATTCTTAACCCATGGGCCGCGGCCCACAAAAGATCAACAGTTTTTAACTTTGGGCCACAGAGGGCCGTGGGACCACACTGATTTTAAAC